GAAATATGGTATTTGTTGCAAATTTCCGAAATATACGCAGCCACTTAATATCTTCATTTTTATGTTTATATTTACTACGTTTTTTTAAAATTTGGGTGTCTACCACATCTACCACACAATGCTTAAGGTGAAATTAGTCAAGAACGCAGAACTTATACTTAAACGCTGTCTGTATACGCAGAATTTTGTCGATTACTGGAGCCCTCAGTGTTGCTTACTACAGTGTTGCCACTCAACAATGCCTTTTTAATAAACTTACCTTTTCAACTAAAATTTTTCGTGCTATAAGAGATGCTAGCTAAATATAAACTACGTATTTTTCAACAAAAAACCTTATTCGACAGTAAATTTCGAATATTTTAAATGTATTTTGAATAGAAACTTTATAACTTTTTTACCATCTGTTAAACTGATGAAGTGGCAACCATCTATAGAAGGTTTACGTTCTTGACTAATTTTACCTTTAAAATCCACCAGATTTTTAAACAGAACATTCATTTACAATTTTCACGTAACTCTAAAATTTCAACTCAATTCTAATCGAAACAGCGTTGCCGTTTTGGTCCAATTGANTGAAGCTTTTGGTAGGAAAAAATGTTTTGAAAATACAACCAAATTGAGCATTCAAATTTGTTCACTTTGCTCACACGTATAAGATTTCTTTGTTTATTTTTCTATATTTTATTAAGCAGCCAATTATCTGCAAACAAAAACTTCAAAGCAATCTGCAAAGTGTGAGTATATGCAAATTGAAACAAATTTGGAAATTATTTTATTGAAATGCATAGAATGTTTGATTTTGTTCTTTCACATACAAAAAACTAACTAAACCTATTTAAATATAAAATATATTGTTTTTTAGGAAATTCCTGCGAATAAACAACCAATTTATCAGCTGTTCATGAAACTTGCAAATTGTTACTGGAATAGCGTTCGCGTACGTTTTTGTAAATTTTGTCTATGAGAGCGAATTCTTAGAAATAAAGTTACTGGAGAGTTGCTGGAAAGTTACTGGATAATTTGTAAACAAACACAACTAATCTCAAAGGTATTTAAAATTTTAACGGACCTCACAAAAAGGAGGAAGGTTATCAATTCGTCGGAATATTTTTATTTATTTATTTTTTTTTTTATATATGATACCGCATAACTTTGGACCACGTTAACCGATTTTTATAATTCTTTTTTTTTTAAAGGAAAGGTGTTATCTCACAGGTGGTCCCATTCTAATTTGGTTTAAATCCGATCTGTGGACCATGAAGAGATTCATGATAGTCTTAAATTTTTTATTGAGAATTGAAGTCAGTTTTGTTTTTTGCTTAAAAATTACTTGTTTACAAAAGTTTTTTATACAATACAATGAATAGTTAACCAATACTATAAACAATATTGTGTGTATTTTTAATTTTTATGCTAATTCGTGTAGCTAAAAACCTCGTAAATTCAAGAATTTTCGTTTCAATAATGAAACAAATTTTGGTAGTTTTGAAATTGATGTGGTAGTCGTTTTGGTACCTAAAAATATTGTCAAGTGGCAATACTGAATCGAAATACAAAAATTAATAAATAAATTTTTAAAAGGTACATCATAAATTTTGCTTTAAATATATCTGTGCCTTAACTTTTTAGTATTTCGAAAATCCTCATATTTATATTTGCTATAGAAAAATGATCCAATAGAAAAATAATTTGGTGGATTTTTTTGCATAAATAAATCTGTATGATTTTTCACAAATTAATAAGAAAATGTTTTTTCTTTATGATTATGTTTTCTAACTAGAAAACTAGTGTTATACTTGTTTTTGCATCAATTGCGTTGAATCTGTACGACCCACTAGCACTTATATTTCCCGATCTAATTTTTGAGTTGTGCCTCTTTTGACGACGGTGCGCGATATGTATGCCCAATAAAAAATATAAATTGGAAAATCTACCACTTCTTATTCAAATCTACATTTTTTTGTCGATTCTACCACACTAAAATAATAGGGGGTTTGCACACTGATATTTTGTCTCTTTGAGAGCAAATGCTGCTAAATTCTCAGAATTTATGCTGCCGGATAATTTTGTCCGCGCAATACGAGTACACAACTTAAATCTGGTAACTTTTGATAAAGAGAGTACCTTATTTACTCTTTTATTTTTCCTCTCAGTTGCCAGAGAACCGAGTACGGGATCGACTTCCAGTAAAATCTGGTAAAAAAATTGTAAATCCGGATCCATGCTGGATCACAACTGAACCTATCGCTTTTTGCTCTTAATCGAGTAAAAATGCCGCCGGATCATTTTTTATTGCTTCATTAGGTCTCCCATTTGACTCCAAAGCGAGTTATGAAGGAGGTCAAAACCAACAAATCTCGCTATTGCTCCGAAAATATATCAGCGAGCCTTCTTTTATTGCCCGCTTAAGATATCAATCGTCGCCTGGGTAAAAGATTGTCGTATGTTAATTGCGGCAGGTTGTGGGAAATCGCGATTGTAGTTTGGAATGCAATTTCTCAAAAACGCTAAGAGGCATTTTCTCCAAAGTCTCTGAAAATGTTTCTAGTTCACAAGATTCTTAAATTATTTAATTTTTAATGTTTATTGTTAATTACTTTTGAGTTTATGAAGGATGTTCTTTAGTAAAATTTTGTCGTAAGCGTCATTTGTCCACAATTTGTCAGCCACTTTGCATGAAATACGGCAAAATGTGATCAAAATTTCTACTAAATTAACGACACTTTTTACTAAATATCTCGGAAACCAAAGGAGATATCCAAAAATGGAGGACGCCATTTTTAAGATATTGATAAGTTTAATATGACTGCATCACTAACTAAATTTTTACTTAATTATCGAAAAAATTGCAGTCAATATCTCGGAAACTAAAGGAGATATCTAAAAACTGATAACACCAATCGAAAGACCTTATTTCAAAATATACCTGTATCTAGACTAAAAATCGTCAAAATGGCGCTTACGACATCTTTTACCCAGGCGACGCAATAGAACCATTTTCAGTTAATAGTGGTTCAGATGAATAGTTGGTTGATTTAAGTGTTAAGTTGGTTAAGCAATTAGCAAGTTTGCCATTTTGATTCCACAACTCGTGCTACCTACAGCCATTTGCCAGATTTAATGAATTTCAGGATGTCATACGGAGAGAAGCAGCTGCACTCTCAAACATTCTGCAGGAATGGCTGGCCGATTGTCTTCAACTTTATCTTTGCGATTCTTGAACACCCGCACAGGATGTGCTCGACTGTATTTTTTGAGCCAGGGTCATCCCAACTGCGACATAACCTTTTGAAGGGTACTCCAAGCCTTTACACATTTACTCGAACACGCCAGTTTGTACATAAGTATCTTCTTTGCTCATTCCTAAGAGAGCTTTTGTTTTAAGTGGGTCGTAGGACATTCAAAACTGCCTGGTAATCCTTTACTTTACCTCTGCTTGGCTTTCGAGTGATAAATTTCAGCGTGGGACACATTCAGTGCGGAGCCGCACCTAGCTTTGCAGTTCCGTAGTATTCTATAACCTCTGAAATGCAATTAATTATTTGTTTTCGATATCCATCTACATATGTATGTATATTTTTAGATTTATGTTATGTTAGGTTCGTTTGAAGTTTGTACAGTGTTAAATCTGATTAGTATCTCATATCATTAGGCACATTAGGTATATGACTGCATTTGATGTTAACTTTAAAAGTTCGGGCCCAATATGCAATCTGAAAATAAGAGGCTTCCTATATTCAAGTTTTTATTAAGGTATATTTTAAATTAATAACAGACCTCTTCACCATCAATATTATCACAGAAGCTTAAGTCAAGTAACTGTAGCTTTCTACATTTCATCAAAAGCCTGAAAAAAAATCCGTTGATTTTTATGTCTCATAATGATCCAAAACACTTACTCATAATAGCGCTCTTTAGATATCCCTGAAACACCCATCAAGTCCAACTGTTCCAAATTGGAGCAAAAGTTTGCAATGTTTTCCACATCACGATCGGTTATTCCTCGCACGGTGGCTAAGAATAGCTTTCTGAGTTTCTTGCAATTTAACAACAATTGCTTCAGACTATCTCCAAGAGAGACCTCCCTTAAACTAGAACAATACTTTTTATTTGCATTCGCTATTAGGTACAATGAAACACGCAACACCAGCCGAAATCAACTTCCTCCAAATCACAGCACTTGGATAATGCCTCTAAGCCAGCAGCGGATAGAAAACGGGATTTCCACATATCCAAAGAAACCAGATTATGATTATATTGGCCGATACGTTGAGCCACTGCGTCCATATTAACTGCTATTCCGCAAAATGCTGTCCGACACAAATGTATGAAAAAACTTTACTATACATAGGTAGTATATATGATTATTAACCACATGGCTTACCCAAATTCAAGTGTTTTAACTTTCGATTGTTTTCTAGCATGGTTAAAACCAATTCAGGTTCGATTACCGTTTGAAATAAATCTAATCTTTCCAAGTTTTTTAAATTTGCCAGACAAGAAAAGTTAAGCAGCGGGGGATCCGTCGAGCAATTTCGAAGGGAAAGTTCTAGTTAGGAAATAAACATTAGATAATTTTTAAGAAATCATACATTCACAATTGAAATACCCCTTAAGTTGTCGCATACAATTCCCAATGTCTCAATACAGCTGGCGTTTAAAATTTTACACGAATCCAATCTTAAGCATATTAGACTGTCTCCTCGTTGTTGGATAAATCTAACAAATAGAAGAATTTTTATAAACTTTTAGAAAATAAAAAGCACATCCTGATGCATACTTTNCAATGTCTCAATACAGCTGGCGTTTAAAATTTTACACGAATCCAATCTTAAGCATATTAGACTGTCTCCTCGTTGTTGAATAAATCTAACAAATAAAAGAATTTTTATAAACTTTTAGAAAATAAAAAGCACATCCTGATGCATACTTTTTAAATTCAGTTGGGGAAATCGTGTTAAACAAACCACACCACGATAAATCCAACTTTTTCAACACAGTAGCTCTCTTTGCCAAGGTACATAATAGATCGTTTGTTGTAAGATGCCAATACGGTTTTAGGTTCAATTCGCCGTACAACAATGGATGAGTAGATACGTCATAAAAGAATTTCGACACTTGTCCAACTAAGAACAGCGATATTAAATCCAAGTAGCTGAATATTTTCAACATAATTTCAAACTGTAGAGGAAATAAAATCACTAATTGTTATTGAAAATGTTTAAATAATTATTACTTGCAAATGGTCTGAAAATTGCGAGTACCATGGAGGTTTTTTTATATATGAATTTATTATCAAAGTAAAGTGCCTGCTTTAAGCAGCTCAGAGAACGTAAAATTTAAAGAAGTTTCAATATACATATAGCGTTATTGAGTCAAATTTCGTACAGCAATTTACGTAATTTCTTTTTGAAATTTCTTTGGCTTCTTTTTGGATCGCGCTAGCTGTTGTCAGAAAATAAGTACAAATACCAAATTTCGTTAAGATATCACAATTTTTACTCGAGTAATCATGTGCACAGACGGGCGGAAGGACAGCCAGTCACCGCTTAACCGATTTCTTTTTTCAATCTGAGCATTAATATATGTATATACATTTGTCTATATCTACTTCGATTCGTTTTGAGAACAAAGTTATAATGCCCTTGCGCACAAGTACGCTCGGGTATAAAAACAGACATATACACGAAACGTATTTTGATTTTATTGCCATACTATTCAATAACATACCGGCATGTCTTTGAGTCCAATCGTTGTCTTGCACTCCTCGGAATGTAACTCGTCGGTCATAATTTCTCTATTATTGCTTAATACGTATATAAACTTATTTAAATCGTTGGCAAAAAATTCTCTCAAGTGGTTATGATAATTGTCCTTAATATTGGGTCGAAATTGAATTCTTTGTAATTTCCGCAAAATCGAACCTTTAAATAGAAAAACATTTTAATAGCTTACTTATAATGCCTAATTTCTCGGCTTTAAGTATAAAAAAATTTAATTATATTTTCACCTACATTTGCGTTGCCGTTCATAGGAGTCGAATACTCGTTGCGCACTTTCAATATTCACCTTCCTCCCGCCTAGTAATACAGCATCGATTTCCGTGAAATAACCCAGGTTTGAATGATTAAATTCTAGCCTAATAGTCCTAAAAATATAAAAATTAAATTGTACAACATAACTAACTTAATAACTTTTAATTACCTAGTGGGCAAATTTATTTTTTTCAATGGTGGGGAAAAACGGCGGGCTTTGTTTATAGAGTGTGGTTGAGGTTTGTATAATTCATCAGTTTCCCATAAACAAAACCATGACTTTGTTATGGTATACGCCCATATTCGAATTAATGCCCCAGGGTTGAATGTTTCGTATACAACTATATCTTCTGGTAGAACATACTCCTCGAAATATAAAACTGTTAAAATAAAGAAGTTCAAATTTTATATGATATGCATTGCTTAAGATACATATATGTATGTAAGTAAATAGTTACCTATAAAGTCTTGAGCAGGAATTTTCGAAAAGTTTTGTGGTTGAATCTCTTGAACATAACTTGGCGCTTTTTTCCACCACTCTCCGTAAGTGCGCTGTATGTGGCAGAATATTCCATGTATGTATCCAGATACAATTGTACATATTTATAAAATGTATACAAACCATTGCGTATGTTTCTGGAAAGTCGCCATATTCCGGAAACTTTCGAGGTCTGCCTGTTATGTTTGGAGCTGTATAAGAAATGCTGTAATCGCTGCCATACTGAGAACTAAAATCCGCTACATCCTGGGCAAATTGATCCAAACGATAACCAGCATGGCAAAATCCTTCCGAATCATTCAATTGCCCAGACTCCTTAAAAGTATTGCATAGTTCCTCATCAGCATCGGCGCTACTTTTAATGAAATCCACAATAGCCCCAGCTTCTGTTTTTCTAACGTCCTCATCCGACACCGAAGACATTTAATGTCTTTTACGAGCGATGAGATACTTAATCTTCCTGCGGTTGCTTTTACAACATTAATTTAATGGCTCTATTTAACTAGCCAAGCAATTTTAATACAAAGTGTTGCGTCATGTATCACTTTCTTCACACACCAACCTTTACCAGTAATTAGAATTCAAATACACTAATTAATGGAAAAATCTGTAGAACGAACGACTTAAACAATAGGATTATTTTTGTTAATATTCGTGGGCCTAGAGCTGAAAGCAGCTGACAAGTGGCTGCGTTCCCAGCCTTGATTCAATAAACATCTTAAGAGCTACATAATACCATGTTCTGACCGACATCGAAAACATGTTTTCGTTGCTAAAACTTCGTCAATGTAAAATCTCTCAAACGAAAACAAGTTTTCGCTGAAAATCACTTGAAAACTCACGTTCCACTCATTCCAATCGGTGCCTGCACTAGTTTTTTTCGAAGTGGAAGTCATATTTTATCTTCTTTAATACGCCATTTCGTATTTATTGTTAATTGGCTGGCCAAACTAAAGTAATAATGAAAGTAAGAGATTGCTAATGAAAAGAAAATGTGGGAAAAGCATTTTGGTTTTGTTTCTGTGTAGCAAAACTGCAATCAGAGGATGTAAGAAATGTCAACGAAAACACTAACAGCCGGTGTGAACAGCCTTCAGCCCACAATTCCAAAACTCGTTTTCAAAGTGTTTTCGTTGTCGGTCAGAACATGGTATAGTAGAGAGCGAAAATTGGAACGTATTGGATCGTGTCTTCTTCTTCCTGCCCAAAACAGCCCGGACTTTTTCTCCGGGTAAAAATGGCTAAAGTGTCAAAGTGCATGTCAGCTGTTTTGTGTTTACATGTTTGCCTGGTTCTAATGATGTGCTGAGTCAATACTTTTAAGTATTGACGGATATTCGGTACTGATTTAAAAAGTATCCGATACTCCCGATACTCGGTACCGAAACATTTAGGTTTCGAATAAAAGCGCAAATAGGCCAATTATATGGAAAAACGGTTCAATGGAGACTCGCCTATAAAAATCCGAATGTAGGAGCCAATAGAGCTTTTAATACGGATTCAAATAAAAGATGTATATATGTCGGTTCGAGGCCATAATGCAGAGACACTCTTACTTGTTTGAAGCATTTTTGTTCCAGCTGAATCGGACGATATCATTTTTGTAGGCCTGGAGGCAGATTCTGTAACCAGTTAGCGACAATTTTCGAATCGGCATCGGTTTTGTTGACGTATGATATGAAATATTTCGTTATCGACGACTTCGACTCCATGCATATAACAGGGAGTCGGTAACGTCGATAACTATGTTTAACCGCCGATTAGTGTTAACCAGACATTGAGTAACCGGCCCTAAGAAACTAAAACTCGCTATTATAATTTTCCTTCGTACTGTCATCAGGTATGTAATTTGAGAATAGAAATCGCTGCATCTTTTAGGCGCATCAATATTACATAGTTAAATCCCGAGCTAATAAAAGGGAGGTAAAAAAGGCGAAGCTACTGTAAAACGCAAAAAAATGTGATGAATTGGAAATCACGAGAAATTGCGGGATCCCGGGATTAAATTTTTTTCATCGCGAAATCCCGCTATTGTTAAAATACTTCGTGATTGAATGTCCTAGTGTGTGCATATTATATGTAAGTCGACATCTTAAAGACATCCCCTTAAATATTTAGAAAATTGAGAAAAACACCTTTTACCATTTTGATTTGAATGGCATTTTATTACATAACATTCAATAAAATAAAATCCCATGAATATCGTACTAAGTTGGTTTATCATCTTCTGGTTTCTCCAAAACTTCGACTATTCGTCCTCTATATTCTTTCGTTATATTTATTCTTACAACGAGTTTCTGCATCTCCTTGTCTTCTCCAATTTTGTGCACACCTCTTATATGACGCTTAGTCCTGAAAAATTATATACATACACATACCCATATATATATATATATATATATATATATATATATATATATATATACATATATATTGGGCGAAATCATACTTTATTACTAACTTGTAAGTATCTGGAAACTGCTTTTCACAAACGCCACATTTATAAGGTAATCCAGTGTGTTGCATGCGATGATTATGGTATTGATCATATTTGGAGAATTTAGAACCACATATCAAGCACTTGTAACTGAAATATCCATGATTCTGCATATGCCTATTTAGAATACGCTTGTGTATAAACGATTTTTCACAAAGGTGACACGAAAATGGCGATTCTCCAGAGTGAGTGCGTAAATGAACATCTAGGTCAATTTGTCGCACATAACGTTTTTGACAAATTTGGCATTCTATCGTAACTCCCTTGTGATGGAGCTCGTGATTTGTAAGGCCATTTTTTTGAAGAAATGATTTTTCACACTGCGAACATTGATATATTGGTTTGCGGTTGTTTTCGTGTGTCAATTTGTGTTTTTTGTATGTGTACGGAGTTACGAAGCTTTGGTTACATATATCGCACGGAAATCTTTCTCGTTTCCCATTGTGACTGAGCTCATGATTTTTTAGAGCACTGAACTCCATAAATGTTTTTGCTGGTGAAGGTAAATTTAAGAATTTGTTGTTTTTTGCTCTTATTGGCTTTATAACAAATTATGTTAAGCAATTTTTTTTAGTTAGTTTAGTTTGAGGCCTTTTTACAACGCTTTTATCAATTTGCAATGTTGTATGTCCAGACCACCATTTATACTATAAATATAGCAAAGGTATTTATGGCAAAGTCTAGATATCAACCTCGTCGTAGATATCATATCAAATACACATAATTAGAAGACTCTAGATGTCGCACTGCCAGCAGAAGTTAAATATTACACCTAAAAAATGCACCACATACGGTACAGCTATATGTATGTATGTATATATGTATGCATATACTAAACGTGAGTGCAAAATATTTGCTTGCATAGTCTTCTGTTCTCTTTTCATTGGTAGTTGAATTATTTTAATATCTATTTGCAAAACTTTATACAGACAAGACTAAAAAGTATAAAATAAATAAAATAAAAAATAAAAAATAAAAATTTTAATATACCACGCTTTTATAAATGGATTAAAAATTGGAAACTAATATTTCTCAGTCCCATAGAATTTGTTTTGATAACTTTTGATTTTGAAATTTTAGCAAACGTCATTAGGTCCATTCCTTATCTTCTCGGACGAAAATCTAAAAAGTGTCTAAATGCAAGAGCGTAAGCAAAATGCGCTCGCTAAAAGAGAATTACAGAAAAATGTAAAGGAACGCAAAAAACCAAATTTTTAGTGCAAAGAATGGCAACAACAAAACTAACGTCAAACAAGAATATAAATGTATATACACGACACATTCACACCATGGTACAATAATTACAGGTATTGTATTCCCTGAGAGCGCATATTCCGATCTGCCTTATTTGAGAAATATCATTGTTGCCCACACTTAAAGGTTTACTGTAAGGGAAACGGGATATTTCTATTCACCATACACCATATATGTCCATGTATTTTTTTAAAGAAACCTTCTTGCAGAGAACTTATTTAATTGGCAAAGGCCTAAAAATAAACATTTGCGTAGTAAACAAAACAAACATTTTTATAGCTCAATTTATTTCAAACGTTCTTTCTTTTTTTTTTTTTTTTGAAAAATTATAAAAATTTAATTGAGCGACTACCAAAAGCAAATCCACCTATAAGTAAAAGAACCAACATTGAAATGCGTCAAAATGAAAATAAGGACGCACGAATTTCGATGTGAAGCAAAACACATTCACACAATCACAAGCACAATAAACACACTATATCAATGAGAGCTTCGTCTGCCTCGGGAGACTTGGACCACAATAGCCCAACTTCGCTCTGGCTTCTGCAGCAGGTTAAACTCGAACCTGAGCAGATTAGGCGCAGCTGTGGCCAATGACTGCCCGGCATGCGGAGAGAGAACCCACGACTCGAGACATCTCTTCTCATGCCAACTAAACCCTACTCAACTAACGCCTCCATATGGAAATACCCTACCCTGCACGCTTCCTGAGTCTCCTGTTACTTTGGGATTAACCGATCTGGCTGAGGTTGTTGTAGTCGCTACAACAACACCAACTAACATTTATAAAAAGCTGCTTTTTTATAATAATTTTGCATAATAAACGGCCTCAAGATCAATAAAAATTGTTTAACATGAGGTAAATTTAAGAAATACCAAACAAAATAATCCTAAAAATTAAAATGCATGGAAGTACTTACGGCAAGCCTGGCAAAGAAAAGGTTTTGGTTTATGACGTTGCTTATGTTGCTTTAATGAGCTTCTTTTCATGATTTTTCCACATTCTTCGCACTTCGCAGGCTCAGACATTTCTTTGACTTTCTTTTTTGTTTTCACCTCCGATTTTACTTCGTTTGTCTTTGTATTTTTTGGTCTTGTATGAGCAAGGTTGAGTCGTTTACTTTTTTTCGATAAGACCAGCCCGGCTTCATTCAAGTTATTGCCCCTCTGCATATCCTTATCCGATTCAATTAGAAACTTTGTTGTACTGACACTCCTTTTTTTATCAATATTTATTTCGTGTTCGACATCCATAGATGGTGGTACTTTTATATCATCCATGTGATCCTTATGAACGAATAAAAATAATTATTGTTTAATTATGTTTAGGTAAGTCATATTTGATATACCATATCTACAGGATCTGGCGGCTTATTTACTTCCATTAGCTCTCCATGTACTGGAACCCATTCAAAGGTTTTGGCTATACTTTCTATCTTCACTTTTTCCGTTTGTGTGCGACGTAATTCATTATCAGCCTTTCTCGCCTTTTCAATAAAATCATAGGCGTCTTTAAGTTTTTGGGCACAATCAAAGCATAGATATTGCATTCGGGTATCATCGAGCTCATTTGGATCTACACTGTGATTTGGATCGTCTTTCAAACTTAAATTAATTTGTGTACATTTACAAAAACACTCTTTGTATGATATATCCAAAGAGTCAACGGGCTGATACCAGTCTAGCAGATGCTCCCGATCTTCCGACGACAAACAGGCGCGGCATATATTTGTTAAATCCATTTGAAATTCCTGCCACTGCTGTATTGATAACACAAGTCGTATTTGATAAAAAATAGAATTGCAAATCCGAGAATATTTTCTGGAAATACAGGGAAAATAAAGATTTCGAAAATATTTCGATATAAGGTATGGTACAATTTTAATGCTTTTCAAAGTCGACCATCCGACAAATCGACTATCGATAGTCGACACTATCATTGCGATAGTTCTTTAGAAACCATCGATAGCTATCGATAGTTTTCGATAGTCTTGTAAACTTAAGCTGAAATTAGTCGAGAACGCAGAACGTATACTTAAACGCAGTCTGTATACGCAGAATTTTGTCGATTACTGGAGCCCTCGGTGTTGCTTACTACACTGTTGCCACTCATCAATGCCTTTTCATAAACTTACCCTTTCAACTACAATTTTTCGTGCTATAATAGATTTTAGCTAAATATAAACTATTTAGTTTTCAACAAAAACCTTATTCAATAGTAAATTTCAAATATTTTAAACATATTTTGAGTAGGAACTTATATCTTTTTTACCATCTGTAAAACTGACGAAGTGGCAACCATCTAAAGAAGGAGAAATCAGCTGACACGGAAAAATCTAAATTCCGCAGATTTCTGCGCTACGGGCTACAACTACAGAAAAATTCTGCGGTGTTGAGTTTTCATTTACATGGCGCTTTGGTAAGACAGATCGTGTCAGCTGACTCGGGTTTACGTACCGGTAGGTTTACGTTCTTGACTAATTTCAGCTTTAGTGTTAAGCTGATGCCAGATAAAACTTTGTAGCTTTGCGTGGCATGTATAACTTTGCCAGCAAAGCGCCAGACGCAAAAAGTATGCCACAATGAACGCCAAGAAAACAATTTTGTGCTGCTTTTTACTCGTCAAAATTGCTATGGATTTTATATATTTTGCTTTGCTTAGCAATGTAAGTCGATAATGATGTTTAACCGCGAAGTAGTGATAACCAGACATTGAACAACCGGCTTGAGTAACTTATTTTTATACCATGTTCTGACCGACAACGAAAACACCTTGAAAACGAGTTTTGGTATTGTGGGCTGAAGGCTGTTCACAGCGACTGTTGGTGTTTTCGTTGACATTTCTTTCATCCTTTGTTTACAGTTTTGGTACACAAAAACAAAACCAAAATACTGTTCCTTCAATTTCTTTTCATTCACAAGCTTTTCTTCCATGCTTACTTTATTTTGGCCACCCAATTAACAATAAATCCGAAATGACGTATTAAAGTTGATAAAATATGGCTTCCACTACGATAAATAATCGAAAAAACTAGTCCAGACACCGATTGGAATGAGTGGAACGTGAGTTTTCAAGTGGTTTTAGCGAAAACTAGTTTTCGTTTGACAGATTTTACATGGACGAAAACACAAGTTTTAGGTCGAAAACCAGTTTTAGCAACGAAAACATGTTTTCGATGTCGGTCAGAACATGGTATTACGCTCTAATTACCGTGTGCGTGTAGCTAAATCTAGCTACCAAAGACCTAAAACGGCAACAATGGTCAAAAACTGTTCTGATTTTTTTCTTCTGAAATGTGAAATACAAAAAAAAAATTTAAATTGGAAAAAATTAAAGGTGCAATCCCGTATTCCTCGGACTAAAACTAGTAAAACTGTCAAAAAATAAAAATTCGCTCAGAGCGAGAGAGTAACATTGAAAAGTACGGGATCGCTTACTAGTAAAAAATGGTAATTTCTGTCAACTTCAAAATAACCTCCAAATTTGGGTTGTCAATTTTTGCTTATTTTGTATGTAAACACACTTAGCTTACACATGTAAATAACCAAAAATACTTTCAAATTATTAGAATCCACTTAAACACGTAATTAATTACTTTTCAACATGAATTAGTAGAGCGCACTTTTCTTTTGCTTACAATTTGGTTGCCAAACACACTACTGCTGATCGTTTGACACATTTACCGATTTTACCAGTAAAAAATTCTCGGACTAAGGGCCGGTTACTCAATGTCTGGTTAACACTAATCTGCGGTTAAACATCGTTATCGACGTTTTCGACTCCATGCATATAACAGGGAGTCGGTAACGTCGATAACTATGTTTAGCCGGAGATTAGTGTTAACCAGATATTGAGTAACCGGCCCTAAAACTGGTAACTTCTGACAGAGAGAGAACCGTATTTACTCTTTTTTTTTGTCCTCTCAATAGTCAGAGAACCGAGTACCGGATCGATTTCCAGCAATGATCGGACTACTACCACATTGTGGTAGATCTACCACTTTTTGGAGCATCCACCACATCTACCACACAAGGTCTAAAATCTACCACATATTCGCATTTTTGAGTAGTTATAATTTAGCTCCACATGATTTTCTTTATTTTTTTAATTTTAAGAGCAAAAATTGTCCAACAATAAACACTATGTGATAACAAGGTAAGACCCGACATCGAATCGAAAGTATCGATATAGTACTCATTTACAGTATCGCTGTAAAAATATCGTAATAAAAAGACTCGATATTCCAAATATTGATACAAAGGCTGCATTTCTTTATTCATTCTGAACATTTGGAATAAACTTTTTTGTTTACTTATTCTTTAGAATATTCCTGATGATATGCTAACGTATATTTCAAACGTATTCTGTTTGTTCCGGCTGTGAAATGAGATTATCCGGAATGTATAAAGAAACGCAGCCAAAATTCAAAAAATTTAATCTGAATATTGGTGTAATTTTCTATTAAAGAATTAACACTTTGCACTTTAGTAAGCACATCACTGAAGGCGCGCCACATACAAACCTAAGATAGTTCACATCAACAACTATGACAAAAAAGTTTATTCCAAGGCGTATTTAACAAGGTGGTGTTGGCCGTATATAAGTAAACAATTACACTAACAAATTATACGCTGATGTCCATACTGTCAGTATAATTGTTTACTTATATACGGCCAACACCACCTTGTTAAATACGCCTCACCTTGGCTTATTCCAAACGTTCAGAATGAATAAAGAAATGCAGCCTATATTTTTTGGCATAATAGTACCTTAAAAGAGAGTCTACCTGAGTTGTTAATCACACCTTGTATAATACACCTTGACCGAAACTACCTGTTCAATGTGCCTTGTATCATCTGATAAGAAATTTAATTCCCTTCAATTTGATATACATACATATCGAGCCCTAATCGCCAAAATAACGTAAGTGACATTTTTTTCAAAATTTTATTTTTGATGCAGAAATGCATCTAGATGCTCTAGGAATATTTCTGCATCGATAAGAAAATTTTGAAAAAAATGTCGCTTACGTTATTTTGGCGGTTAGGGCTCGATATGTATGTACATACATATCGTCGCCTGGGTAAAAGATTATCGTATGTTAATTTCGGTAGGTTGTGGGAAATCGCGATTGAAGTTTGGAATGCAGTTTCTCAAAAACGCGAGGATAGATTTTCTCCAGTCTCTGAAAATGTTACTAGTTCACAAAATTCTTAAATTATTTAATTTTTAATGTTTATTGTTAATTAATTTTGAGTTTATTTTTTCGAACTTAGTCAAAAGTTAGCCTACGTTTTACACAGCTTATTCTTGACTAAGTCAAGAAAATTGGCTAAACTAAGCTAAGTTGAGTTGGAGAAACCAGCCCATAATTTCGGGAAAGAAGAGAATTTTGTTTACTTGGGAACCAGCAGAATCGACGCAGAATCACTCTTGCCAATAAGTGCTTATTTTGACTGTGTAGGCAATTTAGGAGTAAAGTCCTCCCTCGATGTGCAAAAAGGAACGACTGTCATGATTTGTTGAGCTCGGCCAAAAACGCTTAGGCGGTTACAGCGCCAAATAAAAAGAAGAAACCCCATAAATCTACGCTTCTACGTGGATAGGTGTTTGCTGCAATTTTGTACTCAAAAATTGAAAAATATCTGTAGAATAAAGAACAATTTTTAATCATATTGTTAGTGTTTTTTAACATTTGCATTGCAGTTCCTTCGTATTTACACTAATCTAACATCAAAAAATATATGTACATATGTGGGTAGGTACTTGAATATGTGTTTATAATTAACGGTTAATCTGTAAACGATTTATTCCATGTCAGTTCTGTGTTTTTATATGGTCGCCAAATTCATATTTAATATGAACAAAAACAACCAGCCGCAACTGCAACAGTTTTGAATTTCCAATCTTGTCTGAGTTCATCGGGTAACCATGCCAGTGCCGGGTCATTTTGTGCCTGATCTAAGAGAGTTCGAGGTGTGAGTACTTTCACTTTATATTCCAATGGCTTGCAGTAGGATCCACGCCAACACTTCTGCGGATATTCATTTGGCGATTGATTGCTTTGACAAACGGCATTCATTAAATAACGTGGATAGTGCTGTTGACCCAAGTCAACTAAGTCGATCTGAAAGAATATGTTCATTGTATTTTAAGTATTAATATTTACATATACTACACTTATTTTATTGTGGAACTACACCCAGAAAAAATTCAGTTAAAAATATTTCTCTCAACATATGATTTGGAAACTATAACCATATAATGTGACAACAACCAAATCATGTGTCGGGAGAAATGTATTTAGCTGATTTTTTCTGGGTATATCTGAACCGAATTAAGAAATTACGTCTGAGAAAACGTTTGTTTGAAGAAACATATTTCTGCTGCTAGGTGACGTTGTGATATAAAAAGTCGTTCCCAGTGCCATCGAACGAGGAAGGCAAAATATCGCTAGCTTAGAGTGAAAAGTTGCTAAGTCCACTTTTTATGAAAACTCATATTTTGATATAGGAGGCTAAATAAATTGAATATGCATCGTTTCGAAAATTATAAAGGTATTTGTTTTATTTTTTCCTCTTCATAAGCAATAAAAGGAAAATTTGCTAAGTCCAAAAGAAGCACCACAAATCCGATAAGGCCAAAATAATACGACGTCTTTTAATAAATATCGAATCCTTCTGATTCTTATGGAGTTTTGCTTTGCTTTAAACGCGCAAAATGTTTGATTCAAAGTCTTGCGAAATAGTTAAAGAAAATGGCTATAGGAAGATTTTTTTCTCTCCTGTAAAATTTTTAAAATGGGACTTCGCAACTTTTCTTTCTAAGCTAGCGATATATTGATCTGCTCCTGATATCGATGCTCGTTTCCCAACAAATCCTGAACCTCGTGAATCTACCGTCCTTGACCCAATGGACTGCCCTTTTTCTTCTGGTGAACTACCGATCGATTAAATCTTTTAAGTCCTTTAAGTCTCCGGTATATGTTATAGACATTGAGAAACCGGCCCTAAGTCATAATTTAGGAGCGGTTAAAAATTCATCAGCTGCTCTATATTGCTGTAAAACCACCATGGAAAAGAGGTGGGCTCTCAGTTTAAATGTTATTTGCCATCTGCGTTAAACTGTATTTCAGCCAGTAACATATTTTGTATGAAGTCATTGTCAGGAAGAGTTCACTGTAAAAGTCTCCATAAGTTAAAAGTTGGGTCGGGGCGCTTTATACTTCAAGAAGCGGTTTGGAGCGCATCCAGGCTGGCTATGTTTGGATCCCCTTCTAAGGGAATGAATAAACTGCATGACTGACTAATTGGCTAGACAGGACACCCTTATGTGGGAGGATATAGGAGTTTCTGCGGCGTCCTGTAGACAGCTACTGTACAGATGATGACGGTAGAACTTTATTTTAATCTACAGTGCGTTGTCTTATAACTCCATATGGAATATCTGCAATTACCATACCATGAAATATGTATTCAGTGGTAACATAATGGACAAGATAAGAAATACCGGAGTTTTCACGTAATCTAACTTAACGTCCTGGTAACTGCGTATCAAACAAACAAGAATCATAATTTCGTTAAGACACATATGTATGTAAATACTTATGTACTGTAATTTTAGGTAAAAACTACATGTTTGGCAACTTTCATAGAAATTTTTGAAATCGGCGATCTGACCAAGAAGATTAAGAAGAATAGGGGCTTTTTAAAATTTATCCGAAAAAAAAACTTCCAACGAGCTAAGTCTAACAATATATTGTTATACATAATTTTAAAGGTCTATAAATCCTCTTTTCAAAACATGTTTGCAAGAATATGCTAGGGCAGAGTGGGGTTTACGACCTGATCTTATGCTATGGATGTACATACTGGGGCGATCAGATCATGTCCAACGGCGGCATTGAATCATCATCTGTAATTTGCCACCGATTGATATCTTTATTAAGGAAAATGCCTCACAGGGTGCCCTGCGGTTGAGGGAATTTAGACTGTGGAAAGAACGTTCGTACGGGTATGGCCGTATCTTGTTCCCAAGCATTAGCGAAAAGTCTGACTACATCTGTCCTTCGCTTCTCTTCAAGAAAACATTCGGGACGATATTTCCACTACGAAAGGATTGAAAGGAGCCTATTTTTAATGAACGCTTTGAATTATTTATTTTTACGGACGGCTAAAAAATGGATTGTGGCGTAGGGGCGGGAATTTTTTCAGCTGATCTCCAAATCGAAGAGTCTATTCGACTACCGAATTCGTTTAGTGTTTTCCAGGCGGAGGTCTTTGCCGTCAAAGAGGCTTGCAAAATAATTTTAATCTCAAAGCTAGCCGGGACCAGCATTGCTATTTTCTCGGACAGCATAATAAAACAGTGCAGAGATAACGTTATGGCTTTAGCTGATAGGCATGTCGTTGCACTGATCTGGGTACCAGGGCACAGTATATCAGTCTGAATATCTCAGAGGCACAGGAGGTTCTTGTGCCTCTGAGCTATATCAAGAGACACATATTTCAGCACTGGAAAAAGGTGACTTACTTATAATAGATGGAAAGGCCTACAATTCTGTAGGGTCTTCAGGAATTTGTGGCCCACCTTCTGCGCAAAACGCACTGCATTTCTCATCAAACTCAACAGAAGGGATTTATCGCGACTAACTGTCGTTTACACGGGGCACTTGGCCGTGAGAATCCATCCTCCAAGGCTAGGACTGTGCAACTACACTCTTGTCGTAGCTGTAGCTCCCCAGATGCAGAAGATACTGTGGAGCATCTGCCCTGTAATTGCCCAGCACTATGTAGTAATGATGTGCTGAGTCAATACTTTTAAGTATTGATCGATATTCGGTACCGATTTAAAAAGTATCCAATACTCTCGATACTGGGTACCGAAACGTTTAGTTTCCGAATAAAAGCTCACATAGGCCAAAAATATGGAAAAATGGTTCAGGGGAGACTCGCCTATCAAAACCCGAATGTAGGTGCCAATAGAGCTCTTAATACTCTTACTTGTTTGAGGCATTTTTGTTCCAGCTAAATCGGACGATATCATGTTTATAGGCTTGGGTGTAGATTCTGTAACCAGTTAGCGACAATTTTCGAATCGGTATCGGTTTTGTTGACGTATGATATACAATTTTTTTACGTCAACAAGTGCGATATCGATTCGAAACTTGTCGCTAACTGGTTACAGAATCTCCCCCCTGAAAGGCTTTTTCATCCGTCAAAGCATTTATCTTAAACTTTGGATTGACTAAGGTTAAAATTGATAAAATAATATTTCTATGTTGCGATTAGTTCAAGTGTTTTAGCCGATATCATATAAATTAGTAATGAAAGTTTTTTTCTAAACTTGAAATGCATATAATGGCGAAGGTTTAATGTAAAGAATCGGTATCGGGTACCGAAAAAGAAGTATTGGGTATCGAAAATTCAGCACATCACTACTATGTACGACTCGAGTCAGGTTTCTAGGCAAACCCCGCTACTGCGATTTAACAGACATAAGCGGTGCTAGATTTGCGTGAAAAAACCGATTTCAGCTGCACGCATAAGTGCCATTTGGAGTTGTTAAACTCGGCACTTGAACCAACCAAGACTTAAAATTTCTTCAAGATTGATATAATTAATAATATTTTGGCGCTTACAAACTTTTGCTAAGTATTTGGCCGAGTTTCTCCGTCAAATTTTGGACTGCATCCTGATGTTATAACACAAATGGAGGGATATTACGCCGCCTCTGAAAGGCAAATGCTTTTTTAGGAGACGCCTTTTTAAGGCGGAAATACACTCGGAGGTTTGCATTTGCTTACCGAGGGGCAACTGCTGTTAGAAACATTTTTTTTTTAATTCAGGTTTTGCACGGACCAGGTATCGATACCAGGTCCTAAGAAGTGGTAGTACGCACCTCTAACCACTCACTGGAGCCTTCATTTCTCAACCAATTTGATAATTTTTTTTTGAATGAAAGCTAATAAAATTTGCAAGAGACTAGTTGAGCCCAGTTTTGGAATTTTTATTTGTTTGTATTAAATTTTTTAGTGCAAAGTGCAGAAAATGCGCCAATTTTGAAGAAGACCGATTCTCCTGTTCCAGCTAATAAAGGTTTCATAATAAAAACTAGTTGAAAACAATTGTAGGGTTCTCCCAAAACAAAACAAAAATTAAAAAGTAATAATTTGAAATGTTAAAAAAAAATTTTTACCAAAAGTATTTTTTTTGTTTTAAGTTTTTATAAAAATTTTGGGTATGCAGTTTTATAGATTACTAAAATCTACTAAAAATCAACGCGAACTCTTAGCGACTTGCAACTTGCACTTTATTATACTAAAATTTAATGATATATAAAACTGCATACCCAAATATTTAAGGAGAAATTGTTTTTAACTAGTTTTTATTATGTATCTTTTTTTTTTTAACTGGAACAGGAGAATCGATCTTCTTAAAAATTGGCACTTTTTCTGCATTTTGCACTAAAAAATTTAATATAAAAAAAAATAAAAAATTGGGCTCAACTAGTCTCTTGAAAATTTAATTAACTTTCATTTTAAAAAAATAATTAATCAAATTGGTGGGAGAAATGAAGGCTCCAGTGCATTATGAACATTAAATTCCATTTATTGACCACTGTGCAGCGGCCGTCTTCAAGTGTTTTTGTGGAATATCGCAGAGATAGTATGAAAGGTAATTTTTATAAAAATATCGTACACCGCCTTCCAAAATGGGCACAACTAAAAATTACACGTTTGTCAGAAAATGTGAAAAACTATTTCTTAACACATGATAATCATATGGGCAAGGGAGACTATCTTAGGTTGTTTTAACAAATTATAAGCAAAATTTGCTCCAGATTTTTTGGTGAAAGGTAAATAAAAGCTCAGTGTACATTTTTAGCGCATAATTTCAAAAATGCCAAATTTTGAGTTGTGCCTCTTTTGAAGACGGTTTGCGATATGTAAGTGCGCCCTGCTATTTAAGCAAATTACCTTAACTTTACAATCGCAGCCAATGACCGGTGCTGTGCCAGCCCGTTTTGGTTCTTTCCTACTGATATCGGTTAGCAAATCTTTGTAAAAATCAGCGTAGTTTGACATTGGCGGAAAGTTGATAAACTTATTGTCACTCGAAGACTCCTTAGTCTTGACAAAAGCGGGCTGAATTTTTTGTTCGTTCGCCGATGGGACATGGGTTTGACCGAGATTCACTGTTGTTAATCCGTTAAAGATATCATCCATACTGGGCTCGTATCTACTGAAGTTTAAATTCGTGTACACAAATGTGTGCATATGGGTTTTAAGTTATGCTTACTATTTAGCCCATTCAATCTGTCAAAATAAAGCCGACTTTAAAGTATGTACTTAGTTTAAATCTCTTTAAATACAGTCATACATATCGCACGTTTAATAATATAGAGATTTAATTCAAAATTACGCATGTAAAGGAGTCTAACAGATGACTAAACTTCCCAACAATTGCGAAGATATGCCAACTGTATGCATTGATCAAACTTTGAATTTTCCCACAAAATTGCAGATTGTAATTATTTATGAGCTTTAAGATTGGCTTTATTCCAACAATGATTGGGCAGCAGTTGTTACCTCTTGCAATCAAGACATTTGTTGGGCAACATTTCAAAATCCAATTTTCCCTTCACTTTCGTCCAACCTTCGATGGAAGTCAAGCAGCCATAGGCCGCAAAAAGATGTTGAAGTAGATCTTTTCTGTCGCCTGCACTGCGCCGTTGCACACCACCATTACCATCTTTGCTACGCAGCTCGAAAAACACTGGATCCTCATCTCGATCTTGCAACTTGCCGAGCGACGCCTTTGAAACGGCAGGCGATACTTCAGCGCCAACTAAATCCATCACCGGTTTAAGCAGCAAGTTATCCAGCCGATTAGCCACGATACCGCTTAGATACAACGTTAACACCACTAAAGCGAGCTATGTTTTTAAAACGGCAATTAACGGCATTATCTAACAAGCAATTATTAAATTATACTAAGCACTTTAAAGATACAAACCATTTTGCTTGGAAGAATCGGTGTTTTTAACAGCATATTTATTTTTTTATCATGCCGCACTTGTTTTTAAAGTTTTCACATCGGTACTTTGGCCATATATCATGACGTTGTGAACGCGACTGCGACGAAAGAGTAATTGTGGCTAACCGTAGCAGCCATAGCGCTTTTATGTACCAGATTCATTGGTTGAAAGACAATGGCGACGAAGGTGTCAAGTCATGTCAAACGGTCATCTTTTGTATTGACCTGAAAACAATTTGTGTGAATCATATTACTGATGGATATGAAAAAGTCTAGTTTCTATGGTGGTCTTTTGTTCCAACTTCGATAACAGCATCCATTCGAGAAATTTACCAACACATTTGTGTACACAGCATGTCTGAAATATTTCGTTGAAACTTTGCTTCTTAATATGAGCTTAAAATATATACAGTGCTGGAAAAATAATAAAATACTTCTTAGGAAAAGTTCTTTTCAAAAAAATCTGTTGGAAAAGTTAATAGAAGCAACCCGCGCTCTACCGTGAAATTATGTATGGCTTAATTTGATTTGTGTATCAGCTTTCGTTTTAAATCTAGCCGCGTAAAGGAAAAACATTCTCGTTCTGAAGGCCCCTAAGAACAGGGGAATTAATCTATATTTGGACGAGTCAAGTATTAAGTTGGTAATGAATTACTGCTGCAAATTTCTCAAACTAATAATAATAACAATAGATTGGCGTTAACACATATGCTAGTGTTTGGCCAAGCTTCTCCTCCGATTTGTGGCGTGCGTCTTGATGATGTCACCAACAGTTTTACGTCGACTCCTAACGGCGATGTGTAAGAGCGCGGTTACCCACGAACGTGTACCTACGTAGCGTAGAGTAGAAGTACGTAGCAACATATCAAGTTTGCTGTTGATAGAAAGAGAGAGAAGCAACGTCTACGTCACGGTCAAGCGGTGGTGAGTTTTTGTTAGCACGCAGATCTCATAAGATAGATCGTGTCACCTGATACGTTCTCCGTTTTTACGTCCGTGGGTAACTGCGCTTTAATTTTAGGTTTTACACTCGGAGGTTTGCCATTGCCTGCCCAGGGGCGACTGGTATTAGAAAAAAAAACATTTTTTTTCGATGTTGCGTTGAGCCGGGCTTGGCCGCAGGCCCTGCGGAATCGGCGAAAGTATGATATGAAAAAAGATGTATCCTTCAAAAAATTACAATAAACTTACAATAAAAATCGGACTTCATCAGGAAAAATTGTTGTTCCGACAAGCTTAAGAAACAGTAGGTTCATAATTTCATTTTTGATTAATGGACACTTGTTAATAAATATATACATACATACATATGTATTTTGAAAACTATTTAATTTACGTTATGAATGGTTAGGTTAGGAGGGCGTGTATGGAATGTTCCATACATTCACTCGGAGGCATAAATATATATATGATATAAATAAATTACAGAATAATATAGAATATCTATAGCGAATCTAGAACAACCGAATTGGATTATTTGGTCCTTATAGTAAATATGATATTTACGACAAAAAGTAATAATGAGTTATTATTATTCTATAGCATATGGAACTTGCTTTATTTCGCTAATTCCAACACTTGGAGATGCTGTGAAGTCATAAAATGCAAAAACTAAACCACAGCATGTTAACTAGGCCTATTCTTGTTATCGTACAAATTTAAAGTATTGAAATTTTCAATTGCTTATCTATCAAACGACTTTTTTTTTATAAATTCGAAATTCAATATTTGCTGTTCACACTACTTTTTCAAAACGAAGTTTAATAATAAATAGTTATGTATGAATTATTTTACCTTATACATCTAGTGGTTAAAAATGAAAATTGGCAGAAATGGCAAAGATTGGCTCATGATGATTACAATGCTAGGTCTTACTTGACCGTTTTAAAAAAATTAACGTTTTTTGTTTCAAAATTACTTTGTTTTCATTTGTAATGTAAGTTTCGTTGCCGATTCAAATACAGATTTTTTTAAATTAAAAGGTAAACTTGTCGAATTGCAGAATTTTGTTTTGTTGCTTTTATTTTTTCCAATAACTAACCGATTATTAATAGGTTTATATTAACAACAACGGTTGAACGAAAAACTGCATCGCCATGGAAGCGATCGGATGATTGGATCGGTTTTGAAGCCACAAACACAACAAAATGCTTGAAAACTAACTAAAGTATGTTTTTTTTCGCGCTATCTGAACAGCTGCTGTAGCCGAATGGATGCGTGTTCGACTGCCGTGTTGTTGGTTACGGGTTCAAAACCTGCGGCATGGACTTTATTATTTTACAATGCTTTTATCAACTTGCAATGTTGTATGTCAAGACCACCATTTGTACTATAAATATAAAAAAAGGTCTTTATGACAATGATTCTATACAACGTAGTCAAGATATCAACCAAAACTCTAGAGATAGATGTCGCGATGCATCTTTTCGTCCAACCGTAGTTGTTAAACTTTTCTTGGTAGAAAAAGGTAATGCATTAACATTTTCCCACTGGGATGTTCATATGAGCGTACGTACATGTGGGTGCGATAATGTGTATCAAAGTAATTCTTTGGTTTTGAAATTAGCACCTCATGCCTCTTCATTAGCTTTGAAGATATTTTCAGTTCTTAATGTGGCTACTTTAATATATGCATGTAAACATGGCTTTAATACAATTCCCGCATATTTTGAAAAGAAAAAGAAAAATAAAAATAAATCAAGTAAAAAAGTCTAAGTTTAAATATAGTGTTTTCACCTTTACGAAAACTATCGATACATGGTAAGCAGGGGTGATTTTATCTTTTACCCCTATTGCAAACATCTTCGAGAGTACGTTGGCCGAGTCCAAAACAGCACACCAGTGAAGCCAAGGCCTTCTCCACCTGGTCTTTCCAACGCAGAGGAGGCCTTCCTCTTCCTCTGTTACCAATATCGCGACCCACGTTGAATACTTTCAGAGCTGGAGCTGGAATTTTAATTCGCTGCACTACGTCTATATTGTTGTAAAGCTATACAGCTTATCGTTAAATAGTCTGCGGCATTCGCCATGGCTAACGCGCATCTTTCTTGCTAAGACTGCTTGTGTGATGAGAGCAGATACTTCGTTTTGTCCACGTTCACCACCAGACACATTTGCTCTGCTTCTCTATCTAATTGTGAGAAGGCAGAACGTAGCTTTTGTTTTACCGACAATGTCGATATCGTCGGCATACGCCAGCAATTGTACGCTCTTGGAAATTATTATCTTCTCCAACATCAGGTTAAAGAAATCACATGAAAGGGAGCCACCTTGTCTGAAACCTCGTTTGGTACCAAACGGCTCGGAGAGGTCCTTCCCAATTCTGATGGAGCTGGTGGTATTGCTCAACGTAACTTTACACAGCCGTATTAGTTTCGCGGCATAAAGACAACTTCTTTTCGTGTTGTCGAAAGCTGTTTTGAAATCGATACATAGGTGATGGGTGTCGATCCTATTCTCGCGGGTT